TCGGAGAACACAGCTGCATACACAGACAAAGAAACAGAGAAATATAGTTCTGCATCACCCTGGGGCACAATGAACCTTGAGCTGCTATAAAAAGTGTTATTCAATCAAAGAAGCGCACAACGCAGGCAGCTAACCCAGAGCTGCAGGTCACTGGGAGGTCATCCACTCACTGGCACGTTGTCCACTTCACATTCATATCCTCAGCCCTTTAATCTAATCCTAAAACATTTATCTGCAGAATGATTAAATGCATTATTGCTGCACTAAAAAAATGTCATAGAGTATTTTGCAGAGTATGAGAAACATATATTATTTTTTTTCTTTATTATGATCAAGTGTTGTGCTTTTGCATTTTTACATTTTTTTGTCATTTTAAAGTTCAAAATGCAACCTTCTTAAATAAAATCTTTTTTTTTCTTTTATGTACAGCTATGCCACGTTGAATATTTAAGATTTTTTTCTCTGAAATGTACAAAGTAGGACTGATACTGTACATGCTGAATCATTGCCTGTTGACCATAAAATTTGTGGTTCCACAGAGTGGCCAGCAGCCGTATGTTTGCTGAAAATGGTGTCAGGGCTGATAACTCATCCCCTCTTACTGGTCTCCGTCTGAATCCCTTCTCCACCATCCCTCTTTTTTCCAAATAGTCTGTCCCAGAGGGTCCCACGGGAGCATGGTCACCCAACGGGGACCTATTAACGGAGATGGAGGGTGGGGGTGACAGAGTGGTAGAGTGGGGTGAAAGAAAAGAGTCGGGTCAAATCACTTTGTGGCCAAGCAGGACTATCATTTACTGTAATTCAGATTGTGTCAGACTGAAGGAGAGGGAAGGTGAAGTGGTGTGGTGTGGAGCATCCTGGCTCTCATCAATCTCTCCCCCACCCCACCTATCAAAGACAATAGCAGGCTGACAGTAGCTGTTGTATGGGAGGTTAGGTACGGGAGATGATATAACAGCTACTGTAAGGCCTATCTGGTTGGAGTTATTCAAAGAATGTAGCTGTGCAACATTTCACATTTGATGCATAGTGCAAACCAAATAAAGGCTGAATACATTGAAAGTTGTTTTTGTTCAGCTTGTTGTTAAAAGTAAATTAGTAATTAGATTATTTTTAATTATCTACAACTGATGATCAGTTATGGTTATTTGCAATTGATATGTAATGTTCCATTAATAAAAACAAAACAATTATATCACAGAATGAGATGAATGTAAAACCGGAAAAACAAAAATATTGCCCAGCATCTATCAGTCTGGTGTTGTTGTCCTGGTAATTGCCAAAGACAAGTCCAGAGAAGCAGCAGGACTTGTTTCCGAGATTTGTTTTTAAATTCATCGCTGCTCTTTGCATTTTGCTTCCCACTCTACAGTTGTTTTTCAAATGCTGTTCCATGAAGTTCTCTATGTACTGTCCTTGAGCTAATCTGAAGGCTACAAGAACTTCAGGATCCATGCAAGGATTTTGAATGCTTAAGTTGAATAATTTGGAGGGTTGACCCAATACCATTAGCAAGGTATTGGGTAGGACTGATAGTGTGCCTTATATGGAAACATATTGGGTACAGTATAATGACACTTTGATAATGATTTCTGTAGCTTATAGCAGAAAAAAGGACAGTAAAAAGACCCTTATCCGATCAAGCAGAAGCAGCAGCATTTAGTTCATTATAACCCTAACAAGTTTGTCTGGGTGAAATTAAAATTAAATTTCACCCAGAAATGTCCATGGTGTCCATCAACTACTGGGACACCTGTGGCTTAATGTGAACAGTTTTCTTGGAAAAGTTCAACGTTCCTCCTGGTCACAAGTTGATGTAACCCTAAGCAAGGTACTAAACCCCAAGTTGCCTGCTGATCTGTGCATGAATGTCCTCAGTTGTCATGACATTGTCCCCTATGATGAAAGGAGTGCACTTTCTTCATGTTTATTTATTGGATTTTTTACATTCTTTGAAGGTAGAACTAATGTATCCAGGATTCCAACACAGACTTGCTTATAACACTTTATATTTAACAAATCAGCATTTCCATAGTGACACCTGACTCTAGGTCTCAGGGTCTCAGGGTCTCACATCATGACTTTGTCCACCCTGCACATTTTATTGTCTCCAGAGGAGGGCTTGGTTTATATGTTATTTTGATGAAACTTAGTTACAACAAAACCTAAATGTATGATTTTTTTCCCCCCCACTGTGTCTTGATGTTACTGTCAAATATTATTATAATATGGTGTTTTGAGATAGGATTGATTAACGTGTCTAAATATTGGACTAATTTCTTATTGGACTGCTATGGCTTTATTTGTCACCAGAGGGCAGCATCTTACTTTTTATTAACATTCACCAGGCCAAAGAAGACACTCATACAGCATGCGCTTAAACCACATGTGTCGTTCTTTTGCTTGACCTCTTCTCTGAAGGGTTTCTACTCCTGTAAATGGAATTAATCATTGAAATTAAATCTTTCTTTTCTTTGTTAAATTCAAAATTTGTAAAATTTTCCCCCAAAATTGAAACATTAATTTTACACTCAGCTTCCTTCCAATGTGCAACATATCTACTCTTTCTACCTTCTTTGTTATGTTAGAAATGGGATTCAGGTATTCTGTGTAAAACTGACAATAATCAGCATTCTATTGGTAATTGTGATTATTTAGTTGTGTTATCATAAAAATAGTGTTAATGACTGGCTATTTTATCAAACGATGTGTCAGAATAAAAAGTAAGATGGAGCTATTGCAGTCATAGAGAAGATGCTGTCAACCATTTGTGCTGCTAATGTAAGGTAAAACATTTTTTTTTACTTTGAAACCAAAACAGAGATGGGAGAATTGATCATGTTCTGTTTTTGTTTTAGAAAAGATAAACAATTTACATTGACATTGCACATGCACTCGTCCGATGATTGCAGAATTGCAGAGAGATCAACATAATGAAATGTGCATTCCCAAAATAGCAACCTACAAGGCCATATTAAATCATTTTAAATTGCATCTGAGTTGACCTGATTCTGAAGTATGCCTGATGTCAGAATCAATGCAGACAATAAGGAGATTTATTTTCTTTTCTGCTAGACAAACTGTGAAGTGTTTTGATTTGTCTCCTATTTTTTCAGCATTTAATAATTAAGTAATGAGTGCTAAAAGTCAGATTGCAGCAGACACAGTCATGTCCTTTGTCTATGCCCCACCTTTTAACAACAGTACTCCTGCTTATGTTTCACTCTTGTTGAGTCTTCGAAGGCTGGTTTTGTCACTCATCTGGTAAGTAAGGTTTGCGGATATAAACCAACACGTCCCCAGCCCAAAAATAAGCCCTCGATGACTCCAGCTTTGAAATGGGATCTTAAAAACAAGAGCTTGGCCCAGCCACACTCTTTAATTAGGGAGGCCCACAGATGCCTGTGTTCTCGTCCTTTTTACACACACACAGACACGCACACACATACAAGAACACACTGTACACATTGAAATTGTACTTCAAAACATGTAAAATATGGTAAAAACAGAAGGGATTAAACAGAAGATCACAACACAATAGTTTGTGTATTTATAACACCCTTTTCTGATAGATGACAAGTGGTTTTTTTTGTTTTTGTTTTTCTTTTGCTGTGAACTGAAGCTGCCTGTGCACTGAAATGCCATGAATGGTAACTCCCCAAAAACCTCGCTGGCACACCCATTGGTTTCTGTGTTGCGTGAATGAGCTTGCTGTCATTTTCTATCTATGTGCTATTTCAGTGACGTGTCCCACGATCACCAAGACAGCGCGATTCATTCTTTATCATGCTAATGTGTTTCAATATTCCTCCACAAAGAGCATACATTGCTCATACAAAAGATGGCTTCTCACAGACTTGTTCAAGACACACATACACACACACACCCACACACACACACATATTTGATAGAGTCCCATTTCAGTGGCCAGTGACAGTGATTTCTTGTCTGATTTGCTCAGTGATACAAAGAGATTCATACACTAACTTTAGGGACAAACGTGTAAACAAGCACAAATCATTTACCCAACTGAACGAAAAAAAAAAAAAAAAACATTCTGGTGTCCAAATAAAAAAAATATTGTGCTCTTTCATAGAATGACAGCAAATTGATCTTTTTTTCTTTTGTTTTTTTTCTCTTCATTTACAAATTCACTCTTAAGAATTCTGTCCTCCATATCTGCCCCATAAAAAAACTTTTGTTTTGTAATAATATCAATAACGTTTTTTTTTTCTCTCTGCACTAAAACTGTATTGCTAAATAATAGTACTGTGCTCACATTTCTTGTTTGTTTATATATATTATATATATATATATATATATATATATATATATATATATATATATATATATATATATATATATATATATATATATATATATATATGTGTGTGTGTGTGTGTGTATACATAGACACACACTCACCCTGGATATTTAAGAAAAATGCACTGCAGCTAAATATATGATACATCAATCAATCATCTTTATTATCCTAAAGAGGCACTTATTGTACTTTGTGAATGATTCTGAGTCCATTATCAAATGGGACTCAGCATTGTGTTAAGTCATTTCACAATTTTTCTTTTTTAAATTTTTTGGGTTTTTTTTTCCATGTTTTATTTTTTTGCTTGTTTGTTTATTATGGAGATCCAAAACCCGCCGTCTGAGGGGAACACAGCGTTCTTATAGTTGTCCTCACTTCAGGCTATTGTGTAAAAACACAGATGCAAACAAACGCACAGATGCATCCGTCGATGTGTAGTATGCCGCTCCCCCTTTGAATAAATTGACACATGAAGCATATAATTCACCATGTAGGGGCCGTTTAAGGGGGCATCAAGGCCCATTTTAAAATCTCATTAGCAGGGCAGCTGCACTTTGCACCCCATGCTGGTGATTGGGGCTCTCTTTTTGTTTTGTTTTTATTGTACTTGGGTCCCATGCAGAACCGTTGCACACCCGCCACCTTCCCAATTCTCAGGCCTCAAAAAGAAATAATGGCACCCTCAGAGGCGAACATCGGGCGGTTCAGAAGGTCGGATACAGCACATTTACTTCACTGAGCGTACAGACAGATCATCTCACACTGTACCTCAGAGAAACTGAGAAAGATGAACTGACAAGATATAATACAATTACAGTAAAGACAGAAATACAGTCAAAGCATATGTAATTATGTTTACCAAACTAATTTAATAGAAAACAGCTGATTTATTTGTCACCAGATTATAGGTCAAAGACAACCGCACAGTTCATATCCAGACCATTCTATAGTCATTTTTAATCAGTCTAATTAATTCCAGTGTGATATAATGATATAGATAGGTTTAACTGCAATTATATCAAACCAATCAAAATACAATACAGCAGAATAAAGCTTATCATTTTAATGCCAAATGCTAAAAATCTATATATCAAATAAAACTGAACTGATCACATCAAATTGTTTCCTTTGCAGGAATTCATCCCTTTGAGCAACCATGAGGTGAAATTGGAGAATAACACCTCAATGTTAAAAAGAAGAAATCTCCAGGACAAGAAGGATTGGCTCAGTCAGCCATTTGGGGATTGGTGAGATAGAACTAAAATAGGAAAAACATAGAAGAGCTAGTTTAGTAGATTGTGTGGCAAACAAAAGCAAAACAAACACAATGTAATTAGAGGCAAAGCTCTACTAAGGGCCAGGAAAGTCCCTTGAAATTTAAAAGATCAGAAGTAGAAGTTGAAGACTATGTGTTTTATAGAGAAATAATCCTCGTTGTGTTTTAACACGTAGGTAATAGGAGCAATAATGCCATCAGTCATTTCATTTGACAAATAAACAAACCTGGACACAGAAGCACTGAACTTGGAGTACTTCATTGAAAAGAGACTATATATAGTTAATTGAAGCAGTTGCTATTTTAAACACTGTCATGAATGAGACAAAACAAATTATTGCACAGTGAAGCTGCAATTTATTGAAAATATAAACAAAGGGATAAACTTAGAGGTAGAGATTGACACAAAGTTAATGGCATCAGCATTTCAGACAAGTACTTACCATGTGATAAAAAAAAAAAACAATCTGGGAAAGCAGAAATAGCTTTGTCAAGGTTTTTGTGCAAGAAGCCGAGCTGAACACAAGTCTTGAGCCAAGAGTAATTTCTGTAGGAAAGGAAAACAAAGATTATAAAATGTTTTTTTTCTTCTTTCACAAAAATAGCTCTGCTCTTCCCAAAACTAAACACAGAATCACCGCGTTAGGAATACCCTCTATGGAGGGGAGACCTTCATCTAGCTAATAACAGTTAATGGAAACAATAGCTACATTAAAGAGTTCATAACAGTTTTCTCATTAAAAATATTTTTTATTATGAAGTTGACACAAGCATGCAGGATTAAAAAGAAAAATGTTGTTATTGGAAATACATTTTTAATAGTATTAGATTGCTTTTCACTGTCATGAGAGTTGGATTCAAAACCTTGTGTATCTCAATTGTCTTAGCTTTGCCTGTTCGTGTTCCATGTAGTAAAAACTTAAACTAATGTCATTACACATTGTCTGGGCACATTCAGACTGTGCCCTTTGCTTAAATCTTTGTGAAACAAACAAAACACCCCAGTGAAAGAACTTTGAGCTCCCTGAAGCTTACTTTTGCATGATGGGAGCTACAAATCACAAAGTGTAAAAAGGTAAACATTCTAGGTGGCTGGTACACACCTTTGGGCAAAGATCTGGCACTATGTCTGTACAGAAGGCAATGAAGGGTGAAGTAAAAGTGGAAGTGTGAGAAGAACAGCAAATAAATAAAGAAGTCTGTCAAAATAATTCAGCAAAGTGTGGGTTTTAGCAGCAAGTATTTTTACACTCAAAACAACCTCAGCGGCTGTACTTTGGGAGAAGGTCATGCAGGACAAAGAAGAGAAGTGCCATAAATGACGTGCTGGCAAATGTCTCTTTTCCCCTCACTTCCTGTCCTTACTACCTAAGCTTTGTTTCTGGGATTCCTCTTCTTATATGTCTTCTTGTCTTCCAAGTAGTGCACAGCTGGGGATCTTTAAATTAATAGCTAATTATATTCCCAAGAGGTCTGGGTTTCAGTGCTTGAAATAAAATACTTCTCTGTTTAAGTGAATGATGTCAAAATATAATGAAGTGCAGCCTGTGCATATTTTGTTTGGGTTTTGGTAAAAATGGCTCTACAAATGGGAGGAGTTGTGTTTTCTTACAGGCCCCTCTGAGTCAGTTTTTGCTTTAGCGGTTATAACTGTATGCCAACAGCAGGATTTTTTTTTTTTTTTGCTCCAGCAAAAGCAAATATTGGTTTAAAATTCAGACAGTACACTAAAACCTTAAGATAACCAAAAACATCTGATATGAACTTAGAATCAGAGTTGTCAAAGTTGTAGAGCTTGAACAAAATTTCTTTTTAGATCACTAGAGGCCTTAAGTTCTGTTTTAAAAAACTCTGAGTTAAAAAACTCCAGTTAGTTTTATTTCTTGGGTTTGTGTGTGTTGTCTTGCAGAAGCACTCCCATATTTTCATTCAGGGGTTCCTAAACTCTTCTCACAACGTACTGCTAATTTCCGCAAAGCTCGTTCTTGGAGCTGCAGTTTCCAGCTGAGGTTCCGCAACTTTAACAAGTTGCTGATTTAAATACAGATGTTCTGAGCCTTATTTTGATGGGACAGCGTTCTGCAGGACTTTTACAAATCCAATCAATTGCACTCGCAATCTTTGTAGATTGCATGCGACATGGCCACTTAAATGCACATACACATGTTTTTTCCTGCTTACAAAATCTTCCACTCCTTACATGGAATCTTTGTAGATCAGGACCATAGAATGCATGTCTCATCTCCTAAGTAATTGCTGAATGTCCTTGCCACAAAATGTAAAAAGAGACGAAGGAGGAGAACATCAGATAGCACTGTGCCACCTCCCCACACGCACATGCACCACATCCAGCAAGATGGACTGATAGACATGATTCTGATGGAGAGAGTGTGTGCTTGAGACAGGATATTAGAATGGACATTTCCTTCTTCCCAATGCCACGGGCAGGGCCCTCTTCCATTTGTCTTCAATGTGAAGAGACGCAAGAGAAAGATAAAGGCTTGAGCTGAGCTGACAGGCCGCTCGAGTGCCGACCTGCTTTTGCTGTTTTTGATTTGATCCGGAGAGCATGATGCTGATGGGGAATTTTCTTTGGGATGATAGATGGGTCGAGATGATGCACATATAAATGCCTGAGGTTGTATGTATTTGATGGTGAGGAGCAATAATTGTACATTAATTTGTCCTTTGTTGAGTCATGTCTCTCCAGGCCAGGCAGAATAAAAAGGCAAAAATAGAAAAATCAGAAGCATCAATAAAAACAACAAATAACATGTTGGATAATAACTCAACATTTAGGCATAATCTTTACACAGAATGACACTGAAATATGGACAGGATTTAATTTACTTATGTTTTTGTGTGTTGGTGCAGATATGGGTGCCCTAGATGAGTTTTGTGCAAATATCTCACATTCAAAGTCTGCAAGAAAGCACCAGCACTGTTGTTGTTTTTCTTTTAATATTACAAAATAGACTTTATTGCTATTACTTTACCCGCTACATTTGTTTATTTTTGTTGTTTTCTTGAAATTTTAAAGTGTTAAATTTTTAATAAAGTTATTGGATGTTTCTTTTTTTTCAGTTCATTTAGTACTTCACTGGAGCACTCTGGGTAGTTAAGAATGTTTATTTAAAAAAAATCTGAGCCAAACAAATTGTACAAATAATTTATATGCTGCTGGAAGACAAAAGAAACAAATGCAGCATGACAACAAAGCATCACCTCCCATCTGATTGGGATAAGCTCTATTTGAATATTTGCATTTGAGGTGCAAGAACATCCAAGTTACAGTGTTTGTGTTTTTGTTTGAGGGCATCCTATATGTGAGAATGCATGCATGCCCATTTTACACATGGCCTACTGGGGAAACATATGAAGCACTATTCCCTACTGCCAAATGACTTATTGTAGAGAACACTGCATCAGACTGAATCAAATTCCTGACACGTTGTTAGATATGAACTCTGCAAATAATCACCATCCACATCCAACAACTCCACCATGACATGCTTGCATGTTCTTCATGGAGACGTTCAGATGAGCAAGTGTGGTTAACAAATTACATTCACCGTGACCACGTTTTATCAGCGACAGCTTTCATCTGACATGACCTCATTAGGATGTAAGAGTGGATCCATATTTGCTCTCAGTGGTTAGCATGTGAACTGACACATAAGTTACATAGTTAACGAGCAGCCACGCGTGAATGAGACATGTGAACCGTAATGTAATGAGCAACATCCCGCCACATATGTCTGTTCATCCCACCCCATTCTGGCCTTGAGCCGAGCAGCCCAGTGCCTCCAGAGCTGAACCAGATGAATATGTTTTACACAGTAAAATTGAGTCAAATTCCAAATTCATGAAGCAGCTTTCATTGTGTACATTTTGTGTCACTCAGTCTTGCTCTCGGTGTGTATTTGGGCTCAATCTATATTTAATGTTACCCTGCAATGGGATCTGATTGATAATTTCATAAAGTTATGAGAATATAAAAGATTTGACATAACATGGATGTAAGAAGCAATGTGTAAATTGATCATTTCTTATTCATCGGTCCTCTCTGTGTTCTTCTACATTGTTCTTTATCATCAATTGTGTCCTGTTTCATTATATTTGCTTCCACTACAGATTATCTTGAGAGTCAAACTGAATCATAATAGTGTGTCTTTTATTAAGTGAGACAGTGAGCATAAGGAACGTAGATCAGTATTAAAATGCTGTAAAATGAATTTTGTATCTTCTCTTTCAACAAAGAAAAGACCGCAAAACCAAATGAACAAGGAGACAAATGAATCAGGAAGTAGACAGAGAAGGAATAAAAGGATAGGAAGAGCTTTTGGAGTACATTTTTCAGCAGATCCTGTGACATCATTGATGAATGCTACCTATGTGACATTTGACAGTGACTGATTGTGGTTGCATTAGCGACTTCCAGGTCAGGATGTATGAAGAAACACTTTGCTTTTTCTTGGTTCTTATAAAGTATAGTTGATTATATTAAAGAAAAAAAAACTGTATAATGTTTAGTTTTTATTTTCTAATTATAAAGCCAGCCTAAGGCCTCAAGTCAACATTATTTTTGCCTGATATACGTTATGATTGTTATTTGTTTCCCAAATGTCATGCCCCAAAATAAAGAGGGCAAAGCTTCTTCATACTATAACGTCAGGATTGTGAAAACTCTTATCTTGTCTATCTTTCCATTCAGGGAAAATCACAGTAGGCAGTGGATCAAATTTTTAATGCAAGATTCTGACAGGGAAGCGATGTAGGAATTACAGCTACTTTTAAAAATAGTTTTGACTTCAGATCAGTGAAGTATGATCTGTAAGAAAATTCTGGCACGGATTTGTTAACAGCCTGAAAGGAAGTATTAAAATGTCATATAAGGGGAGTGAGCACACAGAGGCAGCATATTTGTGAATGGGTTATCACACATACAGACCTTGTCCCTGCCACCTAATACTCACGGCAGGGTCCAAGGTAAACACAGCTGTGAAATACCCTGGGTGACTGCACAAGTAATAAATCTGTTTGACTGCACTGCTGCTACTTCAGGCCTCCCTCGGCTTTCCATCTCTCCATTTTTAACAAAGCAACAATCGTACAGCTTATGTAGGCAAATGTAAGATGGCAGCAAATCGAGACTGGCACCAAATAGAATTAAACCAACAAGATCTGCAAATACTCTCACCTTGGCCTTTTCTGTCCTTCCATATTTGCTGAGTTTGTTTTGTGTGAAGCAGCATGCTGCTTAGGAGTGAAGCAAATATTACTACAAGTAAATTTGGTATATGAGCATTTAAGAACCTGAAAAGGTCGAAAAGACAAGCTAACTATATAATACTGTTTCCAGAAAATAAAACTGGCAAAAGTAAAACAGTTTATGTATTTTATGGAATGACAGCTTTATCACGTAAAATACAAACAATTGAGTAAATTATTCTAATTTCTGCTAATCTGACCAGCAGTCTTCATAAAAACTTGATCCAAATAAACTTGATCCAAATAAAATTATGTTTTTTGAAACAAACATCACCG